TTTTTTTTTTTTTTTGGTATGAACATATATATGTATATTGTAGTGATATACACTCAAGAAGAAAGAAGAAGTAAATGTAGAGATAATTGGGAATGAGATACAAACTCGGTGGAGACTATTTTTCAGAAGGAATGTGGCCGTTTTCCGTCTAAAATTGACTCCGAGCAAATTACGGAGCCCTTCCTCTAGCGCCAAACTGTTGATGTCGAAAATCAGACGATCAACGGTCGATTATATGTCCAATGTCTTGTAGAAAAATGAAGAACAAAATGATGAAAGATATGTGTTTTTCTTTGTTATTTTTAGAGAGAGAGTGTCCTCTCTTTTGAGTTCTTGAGGAGGAAAATGAGGAATGGAGAAGAAGACCCATTTTCTCTCCTATTTTTACATATATATACATGCTTTATCATCTTGCAAGTGGGTCAATAATAATACATCATTATTTTATCTCAAGTAGTCATCGTGGGGGCCCGTTTATAACTTTCGCCGGTTTTGACGGGCATTTGTCTTGTCAGCAATAGGGATGCCTACCGAGGGCGGCTTCTTCGAATTCTGTTCGGCTCGGGAACGGACATACTCGCCATCTGGGGAATCGGTCGGCTTTAAGATGATCAATCTGGTGTACCTGCTAGTATATTTATTTATCTTCTATCTCTGGCTTCCCGGTTATTGGGCCGTTTTTTATTATTTCGTTTATCATTAATTAATTGGAGCCAAATTGGGTATCAACAATTCCAACGAACCTTGGGCGACCTGAAAGGCCAGTGACCATGGTGCGAAGCCCAAGGTGACGTGAGACGCAACTTAGAATATGGGCGACGCGATAAGGTTCAAACGATCTCCATCAAAGTCTTCGTCTTCTTGGTCTTTGTCTTCGTCTTCTTGGTCTTTGTCTTCGTCTTTCTCAGACTCAGAAGGAATTGGAGTTTTAGTTGGAGTTTTCCTAGTTTTTTTCGTTGGAATTGTAAGTAAAAACTGTCCACGCGAGGTCAACACGATCATATCTTCCCGTGAGAAGCTAGCTCTAGCTCTCTTTATTGATTTTCTTATCAAAGGCTGGTGCTCGTCCTCCCACTTGAATCCTTGGGATTTAGCTCAAATAAAAAACCCTATCTTCGAAAAAGAGTATACATCAGAGACATCTGATAGACAGACTTTAGCTCCTATTTAAGGGGATTTTCTATCTTTGTCTCTTGTAAAAGAACAAAAAAAATTACAAAAGAAATTCCAAGTTTGGGCCGAAAAAGAGCTTCGGACTCGGGTTTCTACCCAGGATCTTTCGAACTGTGAAAGCTAAAGCACTTCCAACAGTGCATTCTAAAATAGCATATATAGATTTGTTTTGTATGAGGAGTTGGACTCCCCGGTTTGGGTCAGAGTAAGCTCCTGGTAATTGGGTCGGAGTAAGGAGCTGCTGCCGATGAAAGAATAAGAAAGTCAGTACCTGAAATTGGTCAAATCTTTTAGATTTTATTTAGTTCCAACGAAGCCGCGTTGAACTTCGCTTAGTTTTTATCATGGCCCGAATTTGTGTTTTTTCTTTATTCATCTATGTCGTTTTATAAGCCTGAACATGTCGAGGGGTTT